GCGTGTGACTGTGTGTGTGTGTGTGTGTTTGTGTGATATAATATTAGCATTTTTGTGTAGTATTCTGTATGATTCCAGTGCAGCAGCAGCAGCAGCTTAATTTCTGATTCATCATTCCTGTTATCATTTATTTCTCTCTCTTATATTTAAAGGCATCTGAAGTGAATTCGATTTGACAGGTTTTGCACATTTTATAAAGATGAAAAAGTGTCTATATAGTCTGCTAGATTGTGTGTGGCTTCTTTTAAAATATTGCATCTGTCCCTAAATACATAAACTCTTCATCAGGTCTGATTTAATGTTGTAGAATATGCACACATTTATATGCACTTGAATCGACATATGAGACACATTAAACAGATCGTAGAAGCAGCATGTTAAGAGTTATGATCATACTGTAAAAAAAAAAAGATTTGTAAAGAGTTGTAAATAAAACAAAGATTATTGCAGTTTTTACAAGAACATATTTCAGTCTTTTTCACATTTAATTCAATGTGTTACCATTTATTTGTAATTATTTGTGAAATTTAATAGCACTACATAGTTTCTACATTGTTACAATTGACACTTCAGTAATAAAAGACAAAACACATGCTGTGCAAATAAAACGCATTATAACAGTCATCTATCAGCTTATTAATGTGGAAAATGATGCATGTCTGTATATCCAGTGGATTATTCCAGTAGTTCAGCGCTAGACAAACATAAACATATAAATATTTATCCTGAAATTAGATACAAAAATAAAATCAAAGCATCTGATCATCCAAATGCCGCAGATTTTCTCAGAACTACTTTCACTTTTCTGAGCCACTGCATTAATGTCGCTCGGTATAAAGAGAGAGGAGAGTACAGTACTAAAGTGCTGTCAGATTTGTTAGGATAATAATAAATGACCCCAAAGTGCAAAATCATTACAGTAACATTCAGTCAGAGTCACTAAAGCAGAACATGTGATGAATCACAGGAACACATTCATTCAGCACATGCATGAAACAATCACAGGTTTGTTCTGAAAGGCGCAAAAATACAATAATAAACCAGATAATTATGAATATAATTACAACTTCAACATAAACAGCCTGCTATGAATTTCTACTTCCTATGCATTACGGTGGGTAAATGATAATTCTGTTGTTTTTCTTTGCATTTGGCAGGTTGATGCATAACATGCAAGTGAACATAAGATTTTCGGTTTGGTTCGATTATTGGGCTGATGCTGTTCATGCAATATTAATGATTTCAGTGCTTGACATTTTTGTTTATTTTTTATGCTAAGCATGTAAATGATAATCCTGCTCTTTTTATGCATTTAGGTGTTTTTATGCATATGCATGTAATCTTTCAAATAATATGAGCTCTTAAAAGCTCATAAAATAATCTAATTAAAATGCATTTTAAAGTATAAAAGTCACATTACTTTAAAAGTATTTCACATACTGTATGCTATAGGCCTGCACACAAATATACATTTCCCTGTTCAGCTTATATGTTTTATTTATGTATATTTTTTTGCATATTACTGGGCTGATGCTGCTCAAGCAATATACAATTTATTTCAATGCTTGATTTTAAGGACATATTTGTTAAATTTTTTATGCTAAGCATGTAAATGATAACCCTGCTGTATTTATGCATTTAGGTGCTTTTTTATGCACTTGTGTGTTTTTATGCATACAAATATTCCATGTAGTCTTTCACATAATATGAGCTCTTAAAAGCTCATAAAATAAAATAATTACAATGCATTTTAAAATATAAAAAGCACATTATTTCAAAAGTATTTCGCATGTATTTGCTGTAGGCCTACACAAAAATATTAATTTTCCTATTCAGTTTATATGCTGGTAATATTTTTTGCAAATGATTTGTCTGATGCTGTTCATGCAGTATGTAAATGATAACCCTGCTGTGTTTTTTTATGCATTTGTGTTTTTATGCATTCAAATATTCCATGTAGTCTTTCACATAATATGAGCTCTTAAAAGCGCATAAATAATTAAATGCATTTCAGCTTATATGCTGCTGTTAATATTTTTTTGCATATTATTGGGCTGATGCTGTTCATGCAGCATTAATGATTTCAGTGTTTGATTTGAAGGACATTCTTGTTGAATATTTTGTGAGTCACACGTTACTGATGCGCGCGCTAACGGTGCCGCCCTCCGTCTGTCTCTCGTCCTCTCGGTAGCTCTGCTCCAGCCGCATCTTCTCCGGGTCCGAGCCGCTCACGTCTCCATGGCAACCGTCAGCGCCGCTGGGCGGGGTCTGGTTACAAAGGGGCGGGGTCTTGGTTTTTACCACCTTGTCGAAGTACGCGAGATCCGCCACGTATTTGCCCATCGGAGAGAGAGACACGATGGGGGGGAACTCGTAGCCCCACAGGATCTCGTCGGGCAGGTAGGAGGTGCGCACCTGACAGGTGGCTGATGTGGGTTCCACTGTGGAGCTCATCATCACCAGCAGCTCGAAATCAGCCGGATCCGGGTCCGTCCATCCGCCTGAGAGAAACAGACACAATGAGCATTTCTGCAAGATATTCACACACTGTGCATGCAGCTGTTTTCTTAAAGGTGAAGTCAGGTGAAGCCTGGTTTATAGAGCAGAAGCGGTCATTGTTTTTGCAATTCCGTTTGGTGCCACTGGAAGCGCAGTATTTACAATGACAAAAGTTTCAATTTTCAGATTAAAGATAAAAAGATTAAATAAATAACTAAAATATAAATAATATATAAAAATGAACTTAAATGAAGAATTAATTAAATTAAAAAATAATTAAGATTAAAATGTATTTAAATATTTAACCACTTTAAATTGTTAAAAAATTTATAATAATAATAATAAAACATTTAATAGATTTTTTAAACAATTTAATAAATAAAATGTATTTATAAAATGACATAAGTTTAATAAAAGTTAATAAAATTTAAATATTTTAATTGCTAAATGTTCTTCAGGCATCACACTCTTTTAACCCAGTGATTTTACATGACTTCCTGTTGTTAAGAATCCAGGATTTACTCACATTAAAATATTTTAGAGCTTGGCATAACTAGAAAAAAATAGAAAAAAACATTGTTATCATTATATAAAATAAAAACAGAAAGAAATGGCTTTTACTTAAAATAAATAAAAAGTTAATAAAACTGCACATGATATTAAATTATAAATATTTTGATTTTTTAAACTGTTTTAGCTTATTTCAAAGCTTGTTTTGTCTTATTCTTATCATTTAAAATAAGATAATACGGATAAAAATAAGAACTATTTTTGAGTGGTTGAAAACCGCTGCTTTAATAAGATGTTTATTCTTTATTTGATTTTTAAAAACTACTTTTGCTGCTGAATTTAGAATTTAGTCATGTTTAACCCTTCGCCGCCTTGGAATTATAAGGTTCTAACTGCATTCTGAGCAGTTTTGAGATATTGAGCTTCAAAGTTTTTGTGTTCCATAGACTTCTGTTGATAGAACCCTTTTTGTTTTCTAAAAAAAATAAATAAATCCCAAAATGTACACAGCTTACAAAAGAAACCTCACATAATGTAAATAAGTTGTCACATAAGAATTGAATAACTAAATTTTGACAAAAAAGTCAGATAGAACCTTATAATTCCAAGGCGACGCCTTGGCCTTTTCAAAATTGCTTGTAAATGTCTCATATACTATATGTGACCCTGGAGCACAAAAGCAGTCTTAAGTCGCTGGGGTATATTTGTAGCAATAGCCAACAATACATTGTATGGGTCAAAATTATACATTTTTCTTTTACGCCAAAAATCATTAGGATATTAAGTAAAGATCATGTTCCATGAAGATATTTTGTAAATTTCCTACCTTAAATATATCAAAACTTAATTTTTGATTAGTAATATGCATTGCTAAGAACTTCATTTTGACAACTTTAAAGATGATTTTCTCAATATTTAGATTTTTTTGCACCCTCAGATTCCAGATTTTCAAATAGTAGTATCTCAGACAAATATTGTCCTAAACCAATGGAAAGCTTATTTATTCAGCTTGCAGATGATGCATAAATCTCAATTTCCAAAAATTGACACTTAAGACTGGTTGTGTGCTCCAGGGTCACATATTACCAATAAATATTGAATTCAATTTATTTTTCAACTTGTTTTCTTTGAAATAGCACCGGTCTTGTATTTCTGTCTGGAATGGATTGATTGTAGACCTGACTGGTCTGAACTCATGCACGTCAGTTTTTGAGTTAATGAAAACTTTATTGGATTATGTATATATAAATACACACACATACAGTATATATTTTGAAAATATTTACATGTATGTACATTTAGATATTTATATTCTTATATTTTATATATAAATATATTTAATATATAAACATAACATATTTTTCTTAAATATATACATGCATGTGCGTGTATTTATATATACATTATAAATATATACAGTATACACGTATATTATGTAAACAAAAACGTTTATTTCGGATGCGATTAATCGTGATTAATCATTTGACAGCACTAATATATATATAACTGTATATAATATATATATACATTTGAGGTCAAAAGTTTACATCCCCATTTCAGTATCTGCAAAATGTTAATTATTTTACCAAAATAAGAGGGATCATACAAAATGCATGTTATTGTTTATTTAGTACT